TGAACCAGGTAAAACAACAGGATGGTAAACCAGATCCTCTGTAGTACTCTGCAATATGGTTATCTCACTGATGATGGTTGTACGTGCAACATCGCGGAAACACGAAAGCCTGGTGGCAATGACTGAACAAATGAGGAACGCCAAATTCGCCACGTTATAAGAAAACGTGAAAGCGCGTAAATCCCAGTTCTTCCCTATAAGTTCCACTTCAGATCTGTGGAAGAGGGTTGAACCGCACGCTTAAAATGCGCCACCTGCGGTTTTGGTCTCCAATACCACCAGTGGCACAAGTTCGCCTGGACCAACTACTGCCAGTTCTATTGGAATAGTTGCTGCCACCTCCTCGTTCACTTTTATAACTGTTCCGAAACTTAGGAATGTCATAAACACTAGTGGTGGTTGGAACGTGGCTGGAACGTGGTTGCTTCCAAAGGCAACAGGAAGCTTAGGCCTTAAGTTACTCCCTCTTGACCCTAAATAAATGAAGCAGGCGAAATGTACGTATACAGCCTCCGCCGGTTGTATGCAGACCATCTGGGCCGCCGACCTCAACCCAGGCTGCATAAATGGTCATTAAGGGACCACATTGTGTACATTCGGTAATCTACACCAACATTCCGGAATCGACGTGAAATTCCTTATAAGAAAAACGGTTAGATGGTATGAACCATTGAATCTTCATATGTAACGTACTGTATCGTAGATAAGCCCAGCAATTTGACACGGGTCACTCGTCGCCCAAACACAGAGCACTACGATAAACCGAGGCTTCTCCGAGTTGTGTTGGCTTTTTCCTACGTGGCAGAACCAGTTCTGTTATAAACAGCTCGCCTCCAGCATGGGTTATGTTCCAACCGGATCTTCTCGGATATCCCGTGGAGCGAACGTAAACAGGGAAAGCACTACTTGGAAGCATACCGGAAGGAATCCGTAGTCAGGACCATTCTTGTATACGATATTCCCGAGGCTGGAATGCATGGTGAACGCGAAGCGACCATCCACGACCGGTACTAGTCGCGCTACATTCACGAAGCCCTCTTCTTGAAAAACCTCATATCGCAATAGATCTCTGGGTTGCCCAGATCGCCAGCTTACCAAGGATGTGGCCCAAAGATTGTGAAAGTGGTGCTTCAATCTAGATAAATGTAAACAAAGGTACTATAGTGCTGGTATGCGGATCACACTAGTTTGCCTTTCGATCTCCGGATTAAAGCAGCGTCCCCTAATCAAACACACAAGAACGGTAATTTAGTCGAACCACTTCCCGACAACGGTTCAGGCAATATCACTCATATAGCCGACGAAACTGGTGAACACCCCATACATTGTATCGCCAGAAAGAAGCAAGGGCGTAATGGTGGGATTCATGGATTTAACACAAACAAGTTTTCCACCGCCCCACCAAAAAGCGGTTAGTGGCCGACTTCTCACCGTTTGACGCAACATTTCATCCAAAACACCCTTCCCTCACTCACTATTGAGATCGGAGAAGCTTTCCCGTATGTTCACCAACGCACATGGTCTCCTGAACAAGCTTGCTGAACTGCGGCTACGTCAACCATCAGACGCCTAGAACCTCATATTCGTAAATGAAACTTGGTTGCCCTCAGAAACTTCCGACGCCGAAGTCGCGATGCATGTTATGTCCCTTCTTCAAAACGTTCGCCGCATCAAGGGTGGTGGGACAATTTTCTACTACTGTAACGACATACAATGCGAACCGGTGGATGATCCTGAGACGCTGATCATAGATCACTCTGGTGCAGTCTGCGACTGAGGTGCAACGACACTTGCTTTGTGGCAATTGTTTATCGCTCTTCAATGTCCATCCCAGAGATGGACTTTCCTCTGACATTAGTCATGGGAGGGTCCGAGGAGGACGATACAGCCATGTTATCATCCCAGGTGACTTCGGTGTTCATCATCTGGAAGTTCCGGCATCCCCCAGCGAGCAATTCAAGGCTGACATGCAAGAGCTTATTGCAAGCACTGTTCAGCGATATCACTTCAGCCACCCGATTCAGAGCAGGAAACTAACACTATCTACGCTTGATTTAGTGCTTACGGACGAAGAGCTCGTGATCGAGAAACCAAGGATGGGGGGCCTTCTGGGGCGGAGTGATCACGCAACGATATTTTACGACTGCGTTATGCGGAATATCAACAACAACCTAATGACTTGTTTCAAACAATCACATACTACGACAGGCTAACATAACTTCTTGGAGATGGCATCTGGGTGTTTTCGGACGCCGGTTCCATTGGTTGTACTTGGATGTAGTTTGTTGGTAAGTTCAGTGATCTGACTAAATCCGCAACGGTGAACCCGCCTCTTCGTTCTGCAAGAGCACCCGTCATTCATTGGGAGCAAAACCCGGAAGCGCGTGGCTGCAAGAGACGCAGCGTGGCTTGTGTACGGAGTCAAACATAGCCCTGAAAACTGGAGCAACTATGTTATGCATCTTAATCCCTGTACCACACTTGTCCATGAGGAAAAATCAGTACACCAGCAGAGTAGTGGAAGGATTTTGTGCTGAAAGCAAGCTTCTGTACAAACATGTGATCATCCTCCGAAAATTTCCGCGTGGTGTTCCCCCTCCCCTCATTTCAGCAAATGGATGTGCTCAAACCGCTGGGGATGTAGTCAACATTCAACGTCTCAAAAACGCTCACGTATTCCGACGGGCCACTAGCATCTGTCACATACCTATCACATTCCCCAAGACGCCAGTATTTACACACTTCACTATTAGTTCAGCAACCGTTTTGAGGAAGCTGCTATCATTGCGCACCCATAGTTTCCCTGGTGTTGACAACGTTCCCCAAAAATTGTTGCATGTGATAGATGCGAGAATAGCTGAGCTATTCACTTAATATTTCAAAAGTTGGCTGGAAGAACAATAGGTTTCCAGTGTTTTTGTATAGGTTCGTCGCAGCTAGACACAGGCAGACAGCCACCACACATCCAGGAAAGCGCTAGGCGGCCGTTTCGTCCTATTGGGACTCGTCAGTAGCGCGCACCCACCGAATCCTGCCGAACCCACGACCTTACACTTGCGAGTCAGCGACTTATGTCACCGAGTCATAGATGACGGCAGCGGACCGCCATGACTGATATTTACCTGCGATATAGCGCGGCTCATCCTCCACTGTCCTGCATATGCAGAGGACAGGGCTGGCCCCCAGAGCAACGAGTTCCTTTGCAAACCGCCACCAATCGAGGTGGCGTGTAAGCTGCTAAGGCGAGTACTGATTTGAAAGCAGGCTATCATTACTTCGATTTTTATCCATGGTAGGTGTTCGGAACCTGCTAACTCTCGCACATTTGTTCTCCTCTCCATGCTCCCAAATGTGATTGAGTAGGTCATAGCTGAGGCACTAATGGGCTGTTTACCAAGGTCTAACAGCATAGCGCCGTAGCAACAAGGATTCCGTCAACATCGGTCACGTACTACCATTCTACTGATTGCGCGAGGTAGTTTGACTGAAACAGCCGTTAATGGGACTGCACTGCTATCGCTATCTTGACTTCACTAAAGCCTTGGACGGATTAAATCACGACATCCTTCTTAAAAAGCTGCAAATGTGCGGAATTGGGAACGCTGTCCTTGGATGTATCGGAAATTTCCTTCTTTAGCGGCGGCTTCCGGTTCGGGGTTCATTTTCCGATCCTATTGATGTGGACTGCGTTGGCTCACAAGGGTCACTGTTGGAGCCGCGCTTATTCTTTATCTTCGCTAACGACCTTGTCTAATTTCCTACTTTTTGCTGATAACATCAAGATATGGCAGATGATCCGTTGTCAGAATGTTCGCCATCTGCCGTAACAAGACTTTGACCTTGCTTTTGATGGGCCAAAATCAGATCTACTTCTGTTTAATGCGGACAAGTGCAAGACCGTACATGTACGCCACAAGCCCACTTACGCCTATAAGGTTGGAGACCACATGCTGAAACCGCCTCACAGAAGCGCGATCTTGGGGTGTTGATGCAAGACGATCTCGGCTGTCTTTGAAGGTGTCCAAAACGGTGAAGCAACATTTTGGTCCCTTACAAAGAACGTTCGGGCGGTTCGACCCCTCCATCATTTCCCAAATGTTCAGTGCGTATGTGATTCCCCACGTAGAGTACGCGATCCAGGCCTAAGAATCCTGGATAAAACCCGAGCACTGGAGACCACACAGCAAAGGGCAAACAAAAATGTAAATGAATTGTTTCACTTGCCATTCAGTTTTGTGACTGAAAGTCTTATAAGTGTGTAATGGAAGTTATCGCCGTCTACGAGGTGACCGTATTCTAGCGTACTAGATCATGAAAAATCCCGGTCACGTTTGCCGCCACCACCTGAAAGTTAGCTGCAACACAACATTGACGGGTCACCAGCTCAAACTGGTTGGAATACCGCCGGAACTAGTTTTCTTTTCGAATATGTCAGCCGTGGAATGCTCCTTCGACTTTTGTCATTTTTGAGCCCACGCTACCCGTTTTTCAAAAAAGTACTCGACAATGCATTGCACCACCTGTATCATGTGATTTGTTTTCTGTTCATTGTGTGATGACTAAGCGCAAACAAACACTGTGCTCACCAATCCACACAAAATCGGGCTACATAGACGTACATGTGTGTTAACGTGAATTTGTGCTGAGTCCACATACGCGCGTCTCACTTTAGTCTAACTTCTTATTGAACTGACGTAATTCCCGCAATCTATCCGACGGGACCGTGGTTTTTTTAATCCATATTATACCATTGTTCCATTGCTGCGAGTACCCATACACCCGCACCCATAGGTTTGTGCACTTTTAAAATTGACTGTCGATAACTTACTGACTTCGAGTCGACGGTTGCCTGGTTTTTCACGCAACACTGATGCCACCAGCCAAATTCCCGCCATTCCCCCACATTCTGCTTTTTGCTTCTTGCGACCCAGTGAGGAATGCAGACGGCGCACTACGGAAGCCGCATCTTTCACATTTCACTGTTTTACTTTACATTTTAGTGGCAATCTATCACATCGACGAATGTGCTCCGGCTGACAAGCTTGATGGAGGAGACAAGACAGTTTGTGCATTCTGCCACCACTGTCCACGACCACGGCCACGGTTGTCGTCTTTTGGTGACGTGTGGTGTATCCTCAGCTACTACAACATCCTCCACTCCGGCCCTCCCCGCTCACAGTTTACGTGAATCGTTATGGTTCAGTACACTCGGTGCGTTAATCCTTTGTGTCTGAGTTCTTCTGACTTCCATTTTCGATCATCCCGCAAAAGTTATTTTGTTTTTATCTCCTCATAGCACTGAATCGTCAGTGTGATGCTCCACGATTCATCTTTTGATCGCATCTCTGTCACATATCTTGGGATCCATACAAGTCGCCATGCTCACTGCTGCGTGCATCGCGAGGTGGGTCCCGTCAAACAAGTACAATGTTAGAGTTCTTCCGTTTTTTCCTCTGGATATAGTTTGACTGACACCTGTCTATGGACGGCATTCGGCTCTTATCACTACTCGCGGACCCTACGTACGTTTGAACGCTCTGGCAGTATTAACCGCTTGCAATCACTGGCAGTTTCATCGGTGCAAAATCGTGGTGTTGAGTTGATACCTACTAGTTCTAGATTCCTGGCCAACTAAGTCATCTATTTTTGTCGGAACGGATAAATCACTTACTGGAGTTTTCTTTTACCTTACTCTCGGCTATCTTATTCCACAGCTGTTTTAATCCAGCACTTATTGGACCAAGGGATTTGTCAGAAAGACATCTCGGCGGTGAGCGTTACTGGTGAGTCCCAATAGGATGAAACAGCTGTCTAGCACTTTCCTGACTTTGTAGTGGCTCTCTGGTTGAGTCTAGCTGCGGCGGATTCTCTCTAAACATAATAAATCCTCTGCTACTCTAATACTCAGTAATCGACTCAGTAGCTCACATACCACCTCGGCTGGTGGTAGTGTGCGTGGAAAGCCGTTGCTCTGGAGGCCACCCCCTGTCCTCTGCACGTTCAGAACATGCATGGCAGTAGAGGATGAGCGGCGCCATATCGCAGTTAGCAATCAGTCATGGAGGTCTGCTACCGTCACCCATGGCTCAGGGGCATAAGTCGTTGGCTTGTAGCAGCAAGTTCGTGGGTTCGAATCCGGCAGGATTCGGTGGTTGACTGTTACCAATAACTCCAGATAGGTTGAGACGGCCGTCTAGCACTTTCCTAGATCAATGCTGACTGGCTGAGTCTATCTGTGAGGAATTTTTCCCAAATTAAAATAAGGTTTATACACTCAACTGGGCCTATTTTTCAGCACTTACGCACTTGCCGCGGATGCCTTGAAGGTTGACATCAAGAAAACTACAAAATTGAGGGGATAACTGAAGCAGGTGCCTAATTGTCACCCCATCGGTCGGTCACGCAACATGTGTATGAACCGCTGGGTCGACAAATATACGTGCTACATATGGTAAGCTGGATGGCGTGCGAGGAAATAGAACTTTCGAACGCACACGTGGTGTTCTTGAATGGTCACCGAAAAGTGGATGGAGATGTTCACTTAGGACCTTGACTGTTGACAATCAACTTAATGAGGAAATCTCTACCTTAAGCGTTAAATCTAGAAATGTGCCTCAGCATTCACAGCATCAAAGTGTAATCTTCTTGACAGCAGAATAATGCACATTTTAACATTTATCAATTAAGGTATCAACTGCCGATTGTCTCTGTGAACTGAAGATGCACGGCCAGATCTTGTAAAATTAGTAACCGTGTGAATAACGCCCACTCGTCCACATTTACTTGTCTCTCTTTTAATCACCTACCTCGAACACATTAAATGTATGTCTGTACCACTACAAAGTTCCGATACCTCACGGTTGGTCTCACCAGTGTTTTGCTGCCAGTACAGGCATAACCGTAGGCGAAATTCCTGCATCAGCATCCTGAAGGCTATAGTCATTTAATTCGCTTCGTCTTTTTCAGTGCCCGCCGTGTGTTTTGGATTGGAATATGCCATTTCAATCGTGGGTTTGGTTGACCTTGAAGTTGGCCTGTGCCATTCCGATCACTGGGACTGTGTCCGAACTGGAAGGTCTTGGTGTTGCTCTCTCTTAACCCTGCATACTGCCACTAATGTTTTCGTTCTTGTTTCGACTCATCAGGTAGTAGTAGCCTGAGTTGGTAGTGGTACTCGGCACATCACAGTGCTAGCCCCCCAACCACTATGTGATGAGTTCCATTCCAAGTTCACGCTATCACTACCTGATGGGTCCAAACAAGGATGAAACCCTCGGTCGTGGAGTGCGGAGTTGGGAGAGAGCAGCACTGTAACTCCATTTCATTTCATTGACATTCTTCTGCGGTATGAGGTGACCTTGCTAGATCACCTTCACGATTAGGCTTATTCCTTGCTGAACAAATGTTGGCTTAGTGACCACATCAGTCCAGTCGTACAGATCTCCTATTTCGCTACTTGTGTTTCCTTTTCGTGGATCTAATATTTATCTGCATTGACATGCACCGAGACATCCGCTGGTTTCTACCGTGACCTTTGACAGCGAGATCGTCATGACTTATGCTATGTGGAGTGGGCTGCACTGCGGGTTATGGAGAAATATACGATGTTGTACATTCCACTAATTTCCTTATTTTGTATGATATAGTATTTAACACCTTCCGTATGGTTCCCTCTACGCTTTAACTGATGCCATTTTCCATGGTTTTGTGAGCTGTTGTTGTCGTGTACCAATTGGCTTGCGTACAACGGTGTTGCGTCCAGGCAGTACTGCTGTTTGAGTCACTTCCAGATATCCTTTCCATTTTCTTCCTTTATTTTTTGATGACCCAGAACATTATATTTTGTGTAGGAAAACATCATCATCATCATACACGTTAGCTAGAGGTGTGGAACACACCAGCTACTGTGCCGCAATACATAGAAAAAAGGAGAAAAAAAGCAACTGGTGCAAGCCGGCTGAGCTACCGGTAATTAATGGGCATCGTTCAGGTAAGCTACCAGCCGGCAACTGTGCATCAAAAAAATTACAATGCAAAATTATATAAGGCTAAATAATGAGATCGTGGTTGGAAGCGGAGGCTAAGAGGGATGGGGTGAGACAAAGAAACTCACAGCACGAATGCCATTGAGGTCGGCTCCTTGCCCTGTCAGCAAGTGTGTCCAACCAAACGTGTTCATCGTCTTTCGGACCCCAACCAGGGAGCCGAGACGCTCCGACCGAGGCCAGCTCAGAAGTGAGAGCCTTCATTCTTCTGGACCAAGCCATCGCTTGGCCACCCCTCCTCTTCTTCCATCCACACCCCGGCGCGCAAACAACACACGTCGCGGGAGTCGGTGGACTGGCATGCGTAACAAGTGGCCCAGCCATCGGAGCCTGGTGCGTGATATAATGGTGCTGAGCGGTTCACTTTCTTTTCCTGTACCATAAACAAGGCGTCGAACACGCTCATTGCTCACGCGGTGTTCCCACCAGATGTGAGCTAAATTGCGAAGGCAGCGGTGATCGAATGTGACTAGCCTCTTTATGTCCGTCGACTTGACGGGCCAGGTTTCACAGCCGTATAGGAGGCTTGAACGGACGGCTGCATTGTACACTCTACCCTTCAGGGCGAGAGTGATGTCGCACCGGCGCCATAAGTGGCGAAGGTTAGCAAAAGCGCCTCGAGCTTTTGCTATACGGTTTGTGATCTCATCTTCAATCTCACGGGCGCTGATACAACTTCCCAGGTAGTTGAATTTTTGAACGACTTCTAGCTGATCGTCACCAAGGGTCAGCGTAGGAGGCGGTCCAGGCCAATCTTGAAGGAATGCTTTGCACTTCGATGGTGCAAAGCAAAGACCGAAGCGGCTGACAGCCAGTGCTAATCTGTCCAGTGCCGCTTGGCACGTCTGGGAGCTGTCACAGATGAGGGCAATATCATCAGCATACTCTAAATCAAGAAGTCGTTCCTGGGAGTAACTCCACACCTTCTAAGTCGTGTCCTGTGAACGCGATTTCCATGACTTCGTCAACAGCGAAGTTGAATAGGAAAGGTGACAGCGGGCATCCTTGTCTCACGCCGCTGGAGATATTAAAGGGCGACGACAACTTGCCGTAAGCCCTCCCTCTGCCCGAGCTACGCGCATATAATGCTCGGATTATATTCACATATTTCTCAGGTACACCTTTCCTGAGTAGACAGTCCCAAAGTGCATGTCTATTCACCGAATCGAATGCACCTTTGATATCGAGAAACACGACAACGGTGGAAAACAAGTATGAATAATTGCTTTTCCAGTGAGTTAATGCGAGCTCACAGTATTCGCAAGTTGGTTTCAAGTGGACAGGTAACAACTAAAGTAGACATCCATTTTTGTTGCGGCGAGCACTTCTTATGAAGCATCCTCACTTGATTTAAACTCAGGTGGCTAATTTGTCTAGCGGGATAGGAATTCCTTTTCTTCACTAAGCATTACGCCCTACAACGGACCACGTTTCAGACCATCTAATCGGAATGCATGTCAACATGTGAGTGGTTCACTTCACTGCAAATCCCTGTCTACTTTTCTCACTTTCACTCGTGACTGTGATTGGGTGCCCCAGTCTGACTCCATTTACCGCTTGCTAGTTGTCTGCCTTCGCAGTCCACATATTGGTGGATATTTTGATGATTCGGTACTTATGCCTATCCTATTTCTGAGCGTTGTCTCGTAACGGTAGTTGATCAGCTATCCGCTTCGTCCATTTGAGTATGATGTAGCCTGTAGTGTTTTCTTTCTCCGCTGGGATTAGTGGTTTTTGGCTGCCGATATTTCGTTTCATCGTTTGCCCACTTGGCGTACACCAGCAAAGTAGTCTGTCGTTGTTTGGTAACTAACTTAACGCTGATTCAAATGCGCTCCATAAACTACAATTTCGAGGTGCGTTTGTCTATATTTTCCTTTGGACCGGTGAGTTATGATGGCGGCCAGAGGACCACGAAACTTAAAACTACCCAATAGCTGACGAAACCATTGAATTCTTCGACCAGAAATCGTCATCACCTATACCAGTTTGTCAGTCGATTGGATTGATGCTTCGCTACCGCACAAGCAAGTTTTGCTTGGGCGAAAAGAATAATAAGAGGTACGGTGGTCTACTTTGAAATCTAAGCTCCCTAAGCTAACATTCAGGATCTAGGTATATGCACCTTTCCAAAAAACGGTCACAAACAGCTGTCTGGCATTCGTACCGAAGTGCTTGCTTGCGTCGCCAGGATACCAGTGGTTAAAAATGATGAGAAAAATGAGGTATTACGAAGAGTGGGCGGGAGAAAAGGGTGCATAGGTTTGGTCAGGTTAGAGCGTTAACTGCGGGAAATCGAGTGTATGTGTGCCGCTGTTTCCTCTAGTGCACATAGTTACATATGGTATCCAACCACACACGTGGCCCGTCCACAGGTCCCACTAAAACAGTACGAACCAGTCTCTTCCAAGTAAATCCCCCTGAAATCTATGGTTTAAGTGTGTTCATATCTGTTTCATTCAATCATTCTTCCTCCGTCTTTGCTTCCTCGTATTTGTTCTTCTCCCAATCGTGATGTGGGTTGCGGCAATTTGGTTAATGTATTGCTCTGTTCTTGTTCGAAGCGAAGAAATTATTTTTGCATTTCTCTGCGAAATCTGCCAGTACTTAGGCATTTATAACCTTCATCCTGATCAATTCATGTGGCTTACCTGCTTGATCACTATAAATCAACCAGCGATGCAACGATACCGCCGAGTGTGTGATGCCAATTTTATTAGCCTGGTTTGAGTCTGTCCCACTAAGATGGAGCTGAATAATGACGTTGGTTTTAAAGCCACCCTGAGTTCATCGATTTCAACAAACATATCCTTGATTTCCTCGAATCAATTGTCGTGCGGCGATTACTAAAGGTATGAGATTGTTTAGGAGATGCCGCGGGTTCGAACCTCACGAGGCTCAGATGGAATGCACACCGCTGACGACTCCCAGTGGGATGAAACGGCCGTGCAGTGCTTTTTCGGCTTGTGCTCGTTGTCTGTCTAGATGTGATAAATTTCTATTTATACTATTCCATGAATTGCAAACTTTTTGTTGACAGCCGAACGCAACGTATTCTCCATTCGTCAGATTTCCCTCATCAAATTTCCAACGTATTTTAATCAACAGCACTTTGAAATGTAATTTGGCTTTTTCTTCCCAGACGATGCTGATCAGTACTACATCGATTCCGTGTGGCATGACTGGCGACTAGAACTAGTACAGCGAGCTGATGAGCTTTTTTGGAAGAGTTTCATGCCAGATCGAAATGTCTCCATCACTACCACCACCACCACCTGACCTGTGCACAGCAATTCCCTCATCGCACACTGCATTTCGCTTTCTGTCATATGTCCATGGATCCGTGCTATTCTCTTGTTGTATAGTTTGTAGAGACTCCTACAATTTTTTATTTCGCGTTTTCTCTTCTATTCACGGACTCAGCTGTGTAAGCGTTAAAACACTTAGAAACCTTGAGCGATACGCGCAGCCACCGGTTGTCCAAATGCAAGCTCGGAACGGATCCGCAATTCCCGGTGTAACTGTGGTGTTATTGACTAATAACAATAAATGCCAAAAGTGACAACCCTCAAAGGGTTTTCTCACACACAAACGGACTAAAATCTTCGGTGGATGCCGCAGAAGACCGATCCAAAAGCCAAGCCAAAATAAGCTCAAAATGCAAACAAGTGGGCGAAGCCGTAACGGAGCAGCACCGCTTCGAAGCAAGCCGGTACACCAATTGACTGTCTAAAGATATAGACATATGCCGAGCAGTCAAACTCGCTTGCTACGGCATGATTGATAGGGCAAAATACACCAATAATATAGCTTGCAAAATCGATTGGATGTGAAGATAGACAGGTTCAGAACTGCTGATTTGCGGAGTGTCTGTCATTTGTAGTCTATGGTGAGGCTGCCTGCGGCGTCTGCGATGTGTTGTCGGTAATTAGCACACCAAACGAGGAAGGGTGTACAAAATATGAGTGACTCGGGTTTGAGTAACCATAGAGAGTGGGCTAGATGAGCCAAGTCGAATGGTTTACTTATGTTCAAGGGGTGGGTAAAACAGGCAGCCTGGGTTCTGGCACATGCAAAGGGTAATGGGCTGTCCAAGTTAAGGTGTTGTGGAGAACAATGGAGGTGATAGTTCCAACTCGACTGGACGAATTGATCTCTCCGACACAAGCTGTACGCTTGAAAACACGTGACGCAACAGCGAATCGCTTCGGACATGTGTCAAAACCAGAATATCTTTGGTATGCAATTTACTAATGAGTAGAATGATTTTTGTTGCAATTTTACTGATTCGTTCCAGCAGCTCAGTTTAGTCCTTCGTACTGTGTTGAGTCTTTTATCATTTGCGAAATCACATAACAGTGATTTCCATCTGGTACACACCCAGCACCACACCACTACATCATCCTATTGTGTTTCCACTGGCCATTACGTGAATAGCTTATTTTATGATATACAGACCAGCGGGTTATTACTCATCAGTCTTCTTGTTTCATTCGGCGACTTCTTTTGTGAGTCTTAGATGTAACCTACGGAATACTGGCAGAAGATGAATAGGATGCAAACATTGGAACTCAGTAGTAGACAGAAATGTTGGATAATCGAGACTTTGAATGGCCATTAGATACTCGAGCGTGTAAGTCTGGTGCTTCATTCGAATGTTATACAGTTAACGACTTTTTCGGAATTGATCCCTACACTGTGCTCCGGTCCAAGCTCTGGCAGACGACAGCTGTCTATAGCGGTTCCGTTTGCACGAGTTGAGTCTGATCTTTTGCCTGGTGGTGCTGAGATTCAGTCTCTGAAGTTAGATTATCGTAAGATCTCCCATCACTCTCTCTGTTTGAGTAGCAGTTTGCACCGTTCCTGATTAACATAAACTGCCTGTAAACATGCAACCAGACTGTTTGTGGTGCACTTCAATTCACCTATGATTCCAATTCTGTCAACAACAAACACGCTCATGTTCGGTCCTGTCGCTTTGTCTGGCCCCGAAAATTGTAGCACTCGTAAATGTTTAAATTCGATCCCTGGGTCATTTCACTGTGTTTCTCAGAAGATACTGCCTTAGTAAACCCTCGTGTGAGCTATAACGGCGCATGTCTTTTCGTTACAACTACAGCGAATTCCTCCCAAATTCTTTCCACGGAAAACTACATCCCTAGCATGCTATTCTTGCTGATAAACACTATTAGCGGATTCACTTGTCGTTAAATACGCTTTGACCATGTCTCACGTTAAGAGCAAGGGTGAGTTGTGTGTTAAATTGGTGAAGAGTGGGCTAGTTTGTAGCATTTACTTGAAAACCTATTACACAGAATACCTTGGGACGGAGCCGATCAAAACGAGACGGTACAATAACACGACACGGGCGTTTTGGTTCTGCCCAGTATGTAGTGCAATCCCAGTTTTTAGCTGTCTAACTGTGCTACTGAAGAACTGTGAAAGACTAGCAGAAGCAGTCGAGAAACTGGGGTGCGCCAGGGTTGCACCTATAGAAGGGAACGGACCTGCAATTGTATGTGAAAATAACACCTTGAATTCCCCATTCAGGCCGAAGAACAAGCCAGTCGTCCCAATCTTACCTCAAGGACTCAGTCTCAGTCAGTACCAACTCCTCTCTCCCATAAATAAAAACATTGTCTGCAGCGTACCTGCTTCAACTTCTGTACAGTGTGTTACACCTAGTAGTTTGTTCGCTATACAGTAGACCCTCAGCTGCAGTCAACCGGCCATAGTGAAGAACCAGGTAATATGCGCATCGGTTGCCGCTAAGCAAACACAGGAAATAGCACCGGTGATCTTGGTGGCCGGACTAGAGAAAACTAAAATATCGTAGTACGCATGGCCACTCTCAGTGTCGTTCACAAATTCGCTAGGAGCACCGGAAATTAAGGCTCCAAAACCAGTAGACACCAGGTGCAACCATGGTGCATGAAAACTTTGGTGCACTCATGTCCCCGAATCCAAATCCAATGCCATTAAGAGTAGGCTGACAGACGATCGAATTCAATGGAGTTACATCTGTACCGCGATCGGTGTCCATGCTGATCCTACGCTATTAAAACTCATCTCGCGTCACCCAAACGCACTGCATTACGGTGAACCACGGTTACTTCGGGCAACAATGAAGTCGGTGGATGAGAGAGAGGCCGTTCTGCTGTTTTCGAATCGACTCCGCAACGCCTCAAGTGGAGTGCGCATACTACCTGAAATCCCGTGGAAAGAACATGCAGCATATCCAACTAACAGACAGAGGAACCGAAAAAGTAAATATAAGAACACTGTGATTGGTCACAGTGTTCCTGAGCTTTCTGATTCCTCTTCCGACGATGCGCAGATACACGACCGGGAGCAATGGCATTGCTATATCCGTGAGGCTCTTTCTCTCGAAAATGTCATGGCCACCTAGTTGACAAGCTTCCCCTTATCACCGAACTATAACGGGTGCAGTCCCAGGCTGTTGAAACTGGTGTTGAAATCAGAACTAACAGCACAAATTCTGCTAGAGAACTGGACGAAACTCTGTTGCAGGTTGCCAATAGAAATTCCTCTGAGAGTAGCAGGAACACCACCACCTTCTAATGACAACCCAGTGGGGGCGCAACTCTCAATGAAAACCCCAACTGTAGCATCTGACTCGGTGACGGTTACAATAGTAGCCATAACCTCCGCAGGCACACAGCAGAGCATGATCGAACACCGGGATCCGAGGCATCTGATACTTGAATATCTACCAAAATTGTCTCGAGAGTCTGTAACCCAACCAAGAAACGACTAGCCGCCGACCTTACATCGGTCCGCGTAAACTCACTTTCTTCATCCAATCCACCCAACACACTTTTAATCTCCGAGAAGCTTTCATGCCCAACAACAAATTAGCTGAATTAAGACTTCGACACGCGTCAGCAGCTTGTGACCTCATCGCTATCACAAAAACGTGGTTGCGCTGTGTGATAACGGATACCGAAATCGCTCTAACAGGTATGTCCGTTGTCCGGAATGATCGAGCCAGCAAAGGTGGTGGGGTAGCCCTCTACTTTCGTAACGGCCCACAGTATGAACCCATACACTATTCGGAAACTGATGTACCTGACTCCATTTGGTGCAACTTCTGGCTGAGAGGGAATGATCTTGGCCTATTGGTTGTTGTTTACCGCCCACCGTCGTCTACACCTGAGATGGACTCCAACTTGGTGGCTAAGTTGAGGCAGGTGATAAACAAGAAATACTGTCACGTTCTAGTTGCCAGCGCTTTCAGCTTGCATGCTGTAGAATCCCAGGCCACACCAGGAGAGCAATTCAAAGCAGACTTGCAGGACCTTGTCTCAGATTCTACGCTTTATGATCACATCACTTCGCCCACCAGACTCAGGGGAAATAACAGGCCATCCATATTGGACCGAATATTCACTAATAAAGAACTGATGATCGAGAGAGTGCTAATCGACACCCCTCTAGGTCCCAGTTGTCATGCGACCTTGCATTTCATGTACACTTGTCATGCTGAATATCCCAAGGACCGAACTCAAACAACGCGAATCGTAACCAGTTACGACTCCTTAACCCGACTCGTTGAAGCGACCTACTGGAGTTTCCTAACCGAGGTTGCACCCGATGTTGCCTGGGAACGTTTCATCAGTATGTTTAACACCCTGGTTGCTGGAGCATCGGAAACCAAGACTAGCATTTCGCGAAACATGGCGTCATTTATACAGAGTAGGACACGCAAACGCATGGGGATGCACAACGCGGCGTGGTATATCCGAGTCCGAGTAACTGGAAGGCATATGTTGTCCACCGTAACCACTGTACCCAATTAGTATGCGAGGACAAAGTAGCTTATCAACATGCTTTAGCTTAAGCTTCTGCAAAGTGAAAAGCGGATTTCTCCCTCTTCAAACAGCGAATGGTCTAACTCGGATTGCTAAAGAAGCTTTGAATGTTCTGCTACAACAATATACACCAACATTTCATTGCATCCCGTGGTCTCCTGAATCTTTGTGATCTATGCTCACACCAAAACTCACTCATATATATTTTACGGCGGACACCGTGATGAGAAAGCTGCTATCCATGCAGCGGCACGCCTGTCCAATAATTGACGACATCCGCCCAAAGACACTTGCTGTGGCGGTTACTATTTTGGCTGAACCTTTGGCGCAGCTGTTCTAGCACTGCTTTGATGAGCGGCACGTTCCTGCAATGTGGAAACACCGAATAATAAGTCCCATTTATAGTAGTCGTTCCGACCCAGCTAATTATCGACCAGTGACTTTACTGCCAGTTCATTTAAAAGTTATGGAGGCTATCATTGCGGACGCACTCACGTCTTATCTGGACGGCTTTGGTTACCTTGCTTAGCAGCAACACGGCTTCCGTCAGAATCGGTCATGCACAACTAATCTATTGTTAGCAAGAGACAGCTGGACCGAAACTGTGGACGTTGATGCAGGAGTCCACGTGCTTACCTTGATTTCTCTAGGACATTCGACCAGTTGGACCATCGTATCCTTCTCGCCAAACTTCAAGGATATGGCATTGGGAACCATCTTCTCGCGTGGATC